TTTTAGGATAGTGTTGCCCAGGCCAGGCATGGTGGCTCATGACTGTAATCCTGTGTAATCCTAGCACTCTGGGAGGCTGAGGTGGGTGGATTGCTTGAGCTCATGAGTTTGAGACCAGCCTGAGCAAAAGCAAGACACCATCTCTACCAAAAATAGAAAAAACAAGGCAAGAGGACTGCTTGAGCCCAAGAGGTGGAGGTTGCTGTGAGCTATGATGCCACAGTACTCTACCCAGAGCAACAGCGTGGGACTCTGTCTCAAAAACAACAACAACAACAACAAAAAACAGTAGTGTTGCCTAAGGTAGACTGCAGTGGCATCATCATAGCTCATTGCAACCTCAAATTCTTGGGTTCAAGTGATTCTCCTGTCTCAGCCTTCTGAGAAGCTGGGACTATAGGTGCATGTTACCAAACCTGGCTGATTTTTTTCTATTTTTGGTAGAAACAGGGTCTGGCTATCTTGCCCAGGCTGGTCTCAAACTACTCGTCTCAAGTGATCCTTCAAACTCAGCCTCCCAAAATGCTGAGAGTATAGGCATGAGCCACTGTGCTTGGTCTAATTTTAATAACGTATTTTATTTAACCCCCAATGTAGAAAATTTTATTTCTACATGTAATCAGTATAAAAATCTTATATTCTTTCTTCAGTGTGTACTAGATATGTACACACCTCCCAGTTTAAAGCAGTCACATCTGAAGTGCCCCTAAACCACATGTGACTCATGACTATTGTTCTGGGCAGTGCAGGTCTGGAGGAAATGTCAGCTGTGGGAAGGAATCCTGATACTGCCACTTACAGGCCAAGGCCTGTGGCCTTGCTGAGCCTCAGTTCCCTTATCTTGAAAATAAGGCTAATAAAGATGGAGATGGGCTTGGCGCCTGTAGCTCAGCAGCTAGGGTGCCAGCCACTGGAGCTGGAGGGTTAGAATCCAGCCTGGGCCTGCCAAACAACAATAACAACTGCAACCAAAAAATAGCCATGCGTGGTGGTGGGTACCTGTGATCCCAGCTACTTGGGAGGCTAAGACAAGAGAATCACTTAAGCCCAAGAGTTTGAGGTTGCTGTGAGCTATGACACATAGCATTCTACTGAGAGCAACACAGCTCACAGCAATCTCAAACTCTTGGGCTCGAGCAATTCTCTTGCCTCAGCCTCCCAAGTAGCTGGGACTACAGGTGCTCACCACAACGCCCAGCTATTTTTTGTTGCAGTTGTCATTGTTTAGCTGGCCTGGGCTGGGTTCGAACCTACCAGCCTTGGTGTATGTGGCTGGAGCCATAACCACTATACTACAGTTGCCGAGCCTTTTTGGTTTTTTTTTTTTTTTGAAATGCTCTTGCTTTAATGCCCTTAGTAGAGGGCCGTGGCATCATCGCTCACAACAACCTCAGAAACTCTTGGGCTCAAGTGATCCTCTTGCCTCAGCCTCTCAAATAGCTGGGACTACAGGGGCCTGCCATACTGCCCAGCTATATTTTAGAGATGGAGGTCTCTCTCTAGCTCAGGCTGATCTCAAACACCTGGGCTCAGGCAATCCACCCACCTTGGCCTCCCAAAGTGCTAGAATTATAGGCATGAGCCACCTCACCTGGCCTAAAGATGGAGATGTTAAAGGGCCCTGCACACAGGAAGGGCTGGGCCACTCTTAGCCTGTTTCTCAACTTATCAAATGAGGCTATCTCTAAGGGCCCTTCCAACTCTCCAAAGGTGTCTTTGCCTTGAGTTTCAGGCCCTCTCTGTTTGGCCCTCATGGGCAGAGGTTCCTTTGTCCGGCTCTCCCCCTGCCTTTGGCTGGAGTGCCCACTCACCAAACACCTGGGCCCGGGGGAAGGCGGGAAACTCCTCGAGCCTGCGGAAGAGGTTGCGGTGGGTGTAGGCCAGGTCTCCATGCAGCTTGCGGAAGTCACTGTACCGTTTCCAGATCACCACCTACAGGAGACATAAGACTTGACCTGGACAAGCAATGACGGGAAGTAGCCTGTCCTATGCCCCAAACAGCCCCAGGGTGTATCAGGACTAGGGCACAGCACCCCCTCCAACCAGGGCCAGGCGGAAAGAGGGCAGGTCTCTGCACAGAGTTACCAGCTGCTCATTTATAATTTCTAGACAAGGAATCACAAAATAGTTCCTCTTCCTCCTGGGAGCCTTACCTCTTTGACATCCTCTGGGTCCTTCTTTGAGATGAACTGAGAAAGATAAGAATGAGTTAAGAACTAGAGACTGCCATTTGATACCCATCACCCTGTAATGCCCCAGATAACTTCTAGACCCCTCCAAGGGGCAGTGCCCTTTGGCCATTGGTATCTATGTCCTGGCTTTAAGGTTTTGAGTGTAACTTTGAGCAATTTTTTTTTTGAGACGGAGCCTCAAGCTATCCGCCTGGGTAGAGTGCCATGGCATCACGCTCACAGCAACCTCCAACTCCTGGGCTCAAGCAAGTCTCCTGCCTCAGCCTCCCAAGTAGCTGGGACCACAGGCACCCGCCACAATCCCTGGCCATTTTTTTTTTTTTTTTTTTTGGTTGCAGCCGTCATTGTTCTTTGGCGGGCCCGGGCTGGGGATTCGAACCTGCCACCTTAGGTGTATGTGGCTGGCGCCTTAGCCGCTTGAGCTACAGGCGCGGAGCCAGCAATTTTTTTTTTTTAAGACAGCATCTCATTCTGTCATCCAGACATGTGATCATAGCTAATTTTTAAATTTTTTGTAGAGAAGGAATCTTGCTATATTGTCCAGGCTGGTTATGAACCCCTGGTCTCAAGTAATTCTCCTACTTCACCCTCTCAAAGTGCTGGGATAACAGATATGAGCCACTGTGCCCAGCTAGTTTTTCTATTGTGAACCCCAGTTTCTTCATCTGTCAAGCAGGAGGATCCCTAAAGGCCCATGCAGACTGTTCCAACCTCAATCCAACTTTTTTTTTTTTAATAATTTTTCTTTCTGAGACAGAGTTTTGCCTGGGTACCAATGCTGTGGTATCAGCCTAGCTCACAGCAACCTCAAACTCCTGGGCTCAAATGATCCTCTTGCCTCAGCTTCACAAGTAGCTGGCACCACATGCGCCTGTCACAACACTCAGCTAATTTTTCTATTTTTTAGTAGAGATGGGGTTTCACTCTTGCTCAGGTTGATCTTGAACTTCTGACTTCAAGTGATCCTCCCACTTCATCTTACCTAGGATTACAGGCATAGACTATTATGCCTGGCCCTTAGCCCAAATTTTATCCCCATTCCTTCAAAGGTCAAAGAGGTATTTCCTTCTAATGCCAAAGAACTCAACTCTATGTAAAATGAGGTTTCAGGAGCCAGTCCTTCCTTAAAAGAGGAAGCCCTGGAGGTAGAAAAACCCCTTGCTAGAGTTGACAACCCTTGGAAGTACAGACTTGGATCAGAGGTGAAAAGAAGGCTCAATTTTCATTATGTCATGTTCATAATTATTTTAAAATAATACCCCATGGTTTAGAGCACCTGACAGTTTTCAGGACTTTTCCTGTTCCTTATCATAGAGCCAGTGATACAGACCTGATTAACAAGCCTACTTAAAAGACCAACAAAGGGGGCGGCGCCTGTAGCTCAGTTGGCAAGGGTACCAGACACATATACCTAGGGTGGTGGGTTCAAACCCAGCTGGGGTCTGCTAAGGAACAATGACAACTGCGACCAAAAAATAGCCGGGTGTTGTGGTGGGCACCTGTAGTCCCAGCTATTTGGGAGGCCGAGGCAAGACAATGGCTTAAGCAAGAGTTGGAGGTTGCTGTGAGCTGTGATGCCACAGCACTCTTACCCAGGGCAACAGCTTGAGACTCTGTCTCAAAAACAAAACAAAACAAAACAAAACAACAACAAAGGAGGCTCTGAGAGGGGATGTGGCCCAGGCAAGACCACACACCAAGTAAGGGAGACTGCCAGGCCTAAAATCCTGGCCTTGGTTATCCATAACAGAGACTTGCCTAAAATTTTGTGTTGAAGAAACTATACTTAAAAACCACTGAGGAGGTCAGCACCTGTGGCTCAGTGGGTAGGGCACAGGCCCCATATATCAAGGGTGGCGGGTTCAAGCCTGGCCCCGGCCAAACTACAATAAAAAAATAGCTGGGTGTTGGGGAGGGCACCTGTAGTCCCAGCTACTCGGGAGGCTGAGGCAGGAGAATTACCTAAGCCCAGGAGTTGAAGGTTGCTGTGAGCTGTGACACCACAGCACTCTACCAAGGGCGATAAAGTGAGACTCTGTCTCTCCAAAAACAAACAAACAAACAAACAAAAACCACTGAGGAATACATACCTGATAGAGGACCCATAACCAGAATATATAAAGGTCTCCTATGAATCCATATTAAGACAAACAACCCAACTTTTGAAAGCAGGCAAAATATTTGAACAGGCATGTCCTATAAAGGGAGTTTGTTTTTTTGCTTTACTTTCATAGTTACTAATGCACCAGTTTAATGGCCAATAAGATTATGAAAATATGCTCAACATCATAAGCCATTAGAGCATTAGAGATGTACAAGTTAATACTTCAGTGTGATACTACAAACCAAGCAAGAACAGCCAAAATTAAAGATACATATATCTCCTGTGACAATTCCATTCCTAGGTATACACCAAGATGAAATTAATAAATATGCTTATAAAAAATATTTATATATAAATGTTCTTATAACTTTACAACTAAAACTTCTTTTAGAAACAACCCAAATGGGCTAGGGGCGGTGGCTCATGGCTGTAATCTTAGCACTCTGGGAGGCTGAGAGGGAGGATTCCTTGAGTTCAGGGGCTTGAGACTAACCTGAGCAAGAGTGAAACTCCATTTCTACTAAAAAGAAAAAATTATCAGGGCGGTACCTGTGGCTCAAAGGAGTAGGGCGCCGGCCCCATATGCTGGAGGTGGTGGGTTCAAACCCAGCCCCAGCCAAAAACTGCAAAAAAAAA